AAATGTGATTCTTGAAACTTGATTTTGATCCAAAAGTCAAAGTTTGACTTTTCAATGTGCATTTTGACCATTTTGCCCTTGTCCAATCCAAACCTAAATTGATGTATCAGTGCTGCAAACTTGAGTCGTGGGAGATCTTGTGAGGAAATTCTTTGAAAAATGAGAGAGAAAATTTTGGGGTACAACACCCAAGGTAGCCTTTGAATAATTTGCCCAAACTATTGGTGCATTGAGCGGTCACCCGCCAAGACAAGAGCCAAAATCAGGTCCCATCAAAGCAACTGCTGCCCAACAAGAGAACATCATGACTGAAGGTTTCTTTCCACCTCCTATGAAGGTGGGGGCATCCTACACTTTGCAGATTTTAGTCAACAATCCTCCCAACATGGATAATTATTTGGATCTACAATATGGAAACCATGACTTATAAGGTATAACTTAAGTGCCTCAACAAAAGGCACTTCACACCAATACTGTTGAAGATCCTATGACGGTTAATCAATTTAAATCCATTGAAGATAGATTAAAGGTTGTAGAGGGTTATGATGCTTTCGATGTTGGTGCTCTAGAAATATGCCTTGTCCTGGACGTAATGATTCCTCCTAAACTCAAAATACCTGACTTTGTGAAATATAAGGGATTCACGTGCCCAACGAATCATATACGCAAGTTCTGTAGGAAAATGGCTACTTATGCTCATTGTTATACCCAAAATTCTACCCTCCCATTTTCCTTAAAGACATTCTCATGAGATCCTTAAATGCTCAAGTTGGCTCAAGAATTGGTCAGACAAATTCTCCTCTTAAGCAATGGGTCCACAACTAGGGTTTGGTATTTCTAAAGGAAGATTGAGTTTTCAAGATCTCAAGTGGATTTCATGGTTCCACATAGGTCTTAAATAATACTCATTTCAAGTTTCAAGTCTTGCATCATAAATTTGCTCAGTCAACAGCTCAGATGACTGAAAATCAACTATATTGAATGAAAAGTCAATTATGGTCAACATATAGTCAAACTTTAAGATTTTTGGTCAACATCAATATTTTGAAGTCATATTCATCATTTGATCAAAGGTTGATCATGATTTTTGGTATTTCTAAAAAATTATAACCACCGATTTATTAACTATTTAAAAACAATAAACTCTTTTGATTTAACAATTTTCTCTTTCGTTATCATTTATTATTATTAGATTTTGGAAACAAATGCACATACTAATTATAAAAACAAATTTTGATCAAATCATAACTTATAATTTTTTTAAATATAAAATTAAAACAATTAAAACAAAAACATGAAATTACTGATCAAAATATTTAATAGTAAAACAATTTTACTATTGCTTCAAATATTTATGAAAATAATGTAAAAAAATTATATAAAAAATATATGTTATTGTTTAAAATAATTTTATATATGAAAATAATTATAGACACTAATTTACTATTACCTCTTTTAAAAATAATAAACTATTTTATTTAACAATTTAGTTTTTGTTTTATTTTATTTTATTTTTATTATATTTTAGAAACAAATGTGTGTAGCCATACTAGTACCCGACGAGCACACAAATATTTCACTAGTATATATTTAAAATTTTAAAAAATTAAATACCAAACTTTAAATATAACATTTTTATATTTTTTTAAAAATTAATTCCTAAAAAACATTAATGAGAATTTGTTAAATACATAGTCTTATTATTCCATTTAGTAGGAACGTAGAATTGTTCAAATATGCAAAATCTTATTTATTGAAAGTAAAATTTAAGCTATTAAATAAAATACAATTACATATTTATTCAAAGTAAAATTTCAGTTATTAAACTAAAACTAAATACTAAATACAAATTTAGAAAATAGGTGATGTACCAAAAGTGTAAAAAAGTTTTACAATGTCAACCTATCACGATCATGAATTCAGCTAAATCAAATTGTCTTTTTAAAAGAAAATTAGTAACATGACATAACAATATGTTTCTATTGAATGATAATGTAAAACTTTTTAATCGGGAATATGGCGGCGGATCAAACGTTTTCGGCGATTTTATGGCGGTGTGAAGTTTTGCGATGGATCTGCTGTAAAGCTCCAAACTTTCTGTATATATTTTGTGTATATACTAATTGGTATTTTATATATACGGATTTTAGGGTTTCTTCTCCATACGCATATGTGCAGATTTTAGAGTTCCATACTAGAAACAATAATGGTAAAAAATATGTGTTTGATGAAGAGGTGATTGTTGACAAAATTAAGGTACTATTTTCACTCTTTCCTTGACCTCTGTTAGTATTTTAAAAACAAGTTTTACTAATTTAAACGAAATGATGTTAAATTAGTTATCTTTGGGTTTGTTGTATGTTAACTGCTAAGTTATACTTTGAAACTATCTTTGCATCATCTATGGAAAGTCATTTAGCCTTGATTGTTAGCATACTAAGACAATCTTAGTTATTTTAGATGCATTTATGAAGAAACCAGGTGGTACAGGAAAGACGATTGTTATTTGCATTAGACCAGGTCTCAATAATGTTGGCGTCATGATGTGTTGAAGGGGTAGTTGAATTTGAGCCTTCAACATTCGTAGATCGTGAGCAATGTGGGATATAATAAGATTTACAGGTGGTAGCTTGTTTGTCAATTATGTCAGCTCTACTCATTGTGGTAACCAGATTATGTAGGTAGCTGGTCTGATGTAGGCAAACAATTATTGGTGTATCGTAGCTTTGTTGAAGGGGTAGATAAATAAACTACATCAGAAAGTAGGTTAGAGTTTAAGTGACTATGCTAGATATAAGTCTGTCGGTGTTTGTTTGAGAATAAAATTTAAATTCTTATTTTCTCATCTTTTAGGTCTGATGTGTGCAACATCATATTTTTCTATCTGAAGAAAATTATCTCAAGAAAATTATCTAAAAAAAACTTACAACAAAATTACGTGTTTGTAAATAAAAGTTACAATATTTTGAATACAAATAGTATGTGTGCAATAAAACTGCACTCAATGGAAAGATTATGCAGTGAATAATTTGAAAGTACATCTCCTTTAAACTCATACAAAAAAACTAAATACAAAAAGTAACATCCATTTCTTCAATTATTACTTGATCACATATAAATTTTATTATAAAAGTTGGTTGTTCTTTTTAATTTTGTAAAAGTTATATCCCCTTAATCTAAATTTGTATTCATTAAAAAAATCTTTAAATCAACTATCTATTAAAGTAAAATACTATCAAATACTTTATATTTTCTTTTACTTGTTAATAATATTTACACTATGTTCCATACTATATTTACACTATGTTCCATATTTACACTATATTTTCTTTTACTTTTTTAAAATTTTAAATTTCACTCACATTTCTCTTTCTTATAATTTTTCATTTTTATTTTAATTTTTTCTCCTTCATTTTCTTTTTATTTTTTTTTAAAAATAAATAAATAAATAAATAAAATCTTTTTTAATCGAATGAAAAGGAACACATAATGATTTACTCAACCGAAAATATAATTATTTTATGATTATTAAAAATATTATTTTCAAAGGTTAAAAATTTTATTTTTTGTTACGAGTCACTATCAACAAAATATCTATTTTATTTTAATTAACAATGATCTTTATTTGAAACACATAACTTTTATTTTTAAATGTTAAAATTTTGATTATTCTCACAGAGCACTCGTATTAACATAATACGTATTTTATTTTATTTAACAATTGTCTTTATTTAAATGCAAAGTTCTCATTTTCAAATGTTAAATTTATATTTTTCTCACGAGAAACTATCAACAAATACCTATTTTATTTTATTAACAATTGTCATTATTTGAGACACAAAATTCTTATTTTTAAATGTCAAAGTTTCTATTTTTCTAATGGGTCACTACTAGCAAAATACATATTTTATTTTAGTTAACAATTATACTTATTTGAAACACAAAATTCTTATTTTTAAATGTCAAAATTTCTATTTTTCTCAAAAGTCACTATTAACAAAAAACTTATTATATTTTAACTAACAATTATCTTTATTTTAGACACAAAATTTTTATTTTTAAATGTCAAAATTAAATTTATATTATTATTAATTTTTTAATTAAATAACTTATATCAAATTTATATGTGATCTAAATAAAATTTATATCCTAATAAATAAATTTATCTACAGATGTACAAGTATCTTGTTAATGTCTCTAAAATGTTTTATAATATATGGATTTGATTTAAAATAGAGTTAAATATATTTTTGGTCCTTATAAATATCTCAAATTTTATTTTTAATCCTTATTAAAAAATGACATATTTAGTTCCTACAAAAATTTTATTCATGCAGTTTTAGTCATATTATTTTTTAAAATTTTGAAAATTACTTAACTACTCTTAAGTTTTTAAACTTTTAAATAATTTTTTTTCATACGTGTTTAGAATATTATGAAATATTTATTAAATTTTAGAATTTTTTAAAATGAGATGAATTAAATATGAATTTTAAAATTTTTATAAGATATTAATGAAAGTAATGAAAATCTCGATTTAGAAATCAAATTTTGAATTTTTTTTTCCGAAGAATTTTTAATAACGTTTTAAAAAAATAATCATTTAAAAATACATATCAGTTTAATAACAAAGATTAAAACTACATGCATAATAATTTTATAAATACTATAAGATATCATATTTTTTATAGGGATTAAAAACAAGATTTATAATTTATTAGAAAAAAAAACATATTTAACTCTTTAAAATATCTATCTAATTAATTTTAAATAAATGAAAAAAAAGGGGTTTATCATTCCACACGTGTGGTAGACACGTTCGGTTCGAGCGAGTGTCGTATAATGCAGAAACCGATAAGAGAGATATTTCTGAAGCTAAACGAAAAGCAGTCCACTGAACGAATCTCCATTTCCCGCTATCAACCAGCAGCAGCAAGAAGCAGTAACACTATCACCTTCTAACCTAGCATAGCTTAGGGTTTTCGCTTTTTCTCCCAAAAATGGCGGCTCTTACCTCTCTCCCTCCCCTTCCTCACACTCTCCTTTTTCTCCGTTCAAAACCAACCAGACTTTCCGTTTCCGCTTCAGCGCTCTCATCCTCAGGTGATATTAATCCTCCGGTTTTTCACATTCATACTTTTATTACTACATTTCAACATTAACTAGAATCAGTAGAGTTTGCTGTGTATCATTATTGTTTAGTAATGTAATTGGCGATTATTCTGTATGCACGAGTAGGCAATGATGGTTCTAGTTCTAGAGCACCTCATAAAAGAAGAGGAAAAATTGAAGGTCCACGGAAAAGTATGGAGGATTCTGTTCAACGCAGGATGGAGCAATTTTATGAAGGTTCTGATGGACCTCCTTTACGCGTTCTACCTATTGGTGGTTTGGGTGAAATTGGAATGAATTGTATGCTCGTAGGGAATCATGACCGCTATATCCTCATTGATGCTGGTATCATGTTTCCTGAGTAAGTCCTTAACTATGAAGCACACACGTATACACGGACACCAAATAAGATACTCACACACTTGTATGTCGATATTGTTAATAAATTTTAGAACATGATAGAAATTGAATGTAATTATATGTTACCTAATTATAAAATTCTTTTTCTATATTTGTTGTCTCTTAATATAAAACCATCTTCAAACTTTCACATGTATCACTGACTTCTTTACGAAAATATTCATACTTAAATGTATAATTGGTAAACATAGGTTTTGTTTTCTCTTTCCAATTATATGATTTAATTTAGGGCTAGTTATTAGGGGCAATTATGTGAAAGTAACAAAACTTTTTTTTTATAATTTATTGCTTCAACCATTTTTTTTAATATAGGTGAAATTTGTAGGAACCTTATAGTAAGAGACAGTGGGAATATGTGGTAGTGTCGTGTAGGACTCTGGACATGCATTCGATAAAAAATGTCAGTGCTACATAGGTCCTTAATAGTTTTCATTGCATCCTAATTTTCAAGACATTCAGAAAATACAGTGCACTTTGGTCCTATTTGGATAGCAATGTAATTAAGCGCTTATAGCATAAATGATTATGAGATAAGTGTTTATGTATAAGCTATTTCTATGACAAAAAATGAAATAAAGTCAATATGTTTTCATATTAGCTATAAGTTGTTTTGAGCTCATGGAAATAAATTGAACATAGCTTATGGACATATCATATGTTATTTTTATAAGCTCCCCCAAGCAGTCTCACAAGTGATTGTCTCAATAGATAAGCTTGTGTCCATGAGGTGTTGATTCAGTTGTAAGATTTTGATTTTGTAACCTCAAAGACAGAGTTGAAATCCCTTATGAGGTAGTTTGTACAATGGTCATTAATGTCACCTTTATTAATAACAATTTTCCGCTCCTATTTTTATTTTGAAGTACATAAGTTGAAATATGTTAATTAAAACAGGCCCAAAGTCATTGTCAAATTGTTGTTTGTTGAGTGATTTCCTTTTATTTGGTTAAGTAATTTTGGCATGTATGTGGTGTGAATTGTATGATGTTTCAGCTATGATGACCTTGGAGTACAAAAGATTATACCTGATACAACTTTTATAAGAAAATGGAGCCACAAAATTGAAGCGCTTGTTATAACGCATGGTCATGAAGATCATATCGGTGCGTTGCCTTGGGTAATGCCTCCTTCTCTATTGGACTGTTGGTTTGACTTGTTGATGATGGAAACCAAAAGAAATCTCTTGTCGATGCTATTAGTTCTCTTTGACATGAGTGGGACTGATGAGCCATTGAATTTTTCCGAGAGTATTCGTGAAGGGGTATTCAAATTATAATGCTCAGTGTTTGATGCATTCTATATAAAATATAAACTGAGACTGAACATAAAGAAGTACTATTCTTTAGTTTGTGAAAGGAAGCTATCTTTGATGTTGTTACTGCTTTAATAATGTAAAAGGCAATGAGCTCTGAAGGAGATTTACATTTATTGAATTGAAGTCAACAGATAACTTAATTCTACAATTGTTGGCTTGGGAGATGGATCATGTTTTAGACATAGGACTCTTTGTGGCACACTTCTTTACAAGCTCTAACAATTAGTTCATTTTGCTGTGTATTCATGTTTTCTTGCTTGGGACTACTAGTACTATGTACTTTCACTTTCAATATTTTTTTGTTTTATGGATCTTTTCTAAGATTCCATCTGAGTTGGACTCTTTTATTTGAAAGAACTGTAGGCTTCACAAGTCACAGGACTATTTCTGCTGAAGTCTGTGTTATTTTGGGGTCCATGGTCAACAAAGAAATTGGTATCTCTTCGTAGCTAACATACATTGGTTTTATTTCTTGTGTTCTTTTTACGCTGCCTGCTCGAGATATTTCCTACCATACAGCCTCCTATATCTTTCTAGATTTAGATTTCAATGAGGCTGCTACATAATAGGCTTGCTTCAGTCCTAAATAAATGTCTCTGTATGTTTGTGTATTCACTTTAGTGAGTTGTTATTCTTATACCTGAAAATGTATTGATCTTACCTTCTTCTTTCTAATATGCTATTTTCCTTCTTACATTTTTATCCCAATAGATTATTCATAGCAATGCAATTTGTCCTATATTTACGTTCGTTCTTAACATAACTTATCCTGGTTCATCAGGTCATCCCAGCATTGGATTCCAATACACCGATTTTTGCATCTTCCTTTACAATGGAGGTATTCGGCAAGAAAATTAATTTGTATAAATGCTAGTTTTTAATTAGTTCAATTACTTGGTGTATCAGCTAAACTGATGGTAGGAAATGGTAGAAGATGTCAGTATCCACAGATCTTGAAGTTGAATAATTCTCGAGTTCTTCAGTTTTCGTTACTGTAATAGACATCTATTATATCTAAAACTTTGTTTGCATAATTTTGTCATCAAATATCTGTTCTTTGCATTGTTTATTTTATCCACTGCATTCTAGAGAAGGTAAAACTTTTTTCCTTTTAACAGCTTATAAAAAAACGTTTGAAGGAGCATGGTATTTTTCTTTCGTCTAGACTCAAAATCTTCAGAACAAAGAACAAGTTTGTCGCCGGGCCATTTGAGATAGAACCTATTAGGGTGACTCATTCTATTCCTGACTGCTGTGGACTAGTTCTTCGTTGTTCTGATGGTACTATTCTTCACACCGGGGACTGGAAGGTCAGAGTGTTACTTTTAATTCTCAATGCATTGGCCCTTTCATTTACCTTGAATCTCCTGATGCTGAAAAAGTTGATTTATTAGATTGACGAGACACCACTTGATGGGAAGGTTTTTGATCGAGAGGCTTTAGAGGAACTCTCTAAAGAAGGAGTAACATTGGTGAGTCACCTGGATCTTTTCTACTTACTATGGGTTTGGATAATATATTTTGAGCTTATTGTTGGCTTTAATGACAAGGAAGAGATAAGCTTAGTGCAATTTGAAGATCTTGTGGGTTTCACAGATGCCAGATGCACAGTTGTTTATAATTTAACACGATCATATTGACTGTATATTTTTTTCTATTGTTTAAATCAAATATATATCCTTTCATTTGTTCATCTTAAATGTTAACAACAAGCAAACATGGATTTGGGCTTTGCTTTTCAGATGATGAGTGATTCGACAAATGTGCTCTCACCTGGAAGGACAACCAGTGAATCTGTTGTAGCAGATGCATTATTGAGGCATATTTCAGCTACTAAAGGAAGGGTTATTACGACCCAGTTCGCGTCAAATCTACATCGGATTGGAAGTGTGAAAGCTGCTGCTGATTTAACTGGCAGAAAGTTGGTAATATTCCCACTAGCTAATATCCTTTAATGCAATTGACAACAGTTTTCTTGTTTAGAATGACAAAATACTTGGAGACTATAATTGTATAATTATTATATCAGGTATTTGTTGGCATGTCTTTAAGGACATACTTAGAAGCAGCTTGGAAGGATGGAAAGGCTCCATTTGATCCATCCACTCTGGTAATAAATATTCTGAGAATTTTCTCCAAAATTCTTTCGAATTTAATGTAATTGGTGACTCAACCTAAATTTTAAATTTCGACCCGCCCATCCAATACATGGACCATACAGTCTATTGCTGATCTGTTTTTTCATAAACTGGGTTTTTAGCAGAAATTCAGTGCATGCTGTCACTTGTTATGGTTTTCAGAAGTTGGACAGGATACTATAATCAGATTGATTTATTAATTTGTTTTTGGAGGAAATTATTTGCAAGTAGATAAATCACCACCTGAGTTCTTCTATGTATTTTAACTTTGAGTGTGTTTATTTCAAGGTTTAAAATTACATTCCTGGGAACGTGGTATTGGAAATGCAACATTCCCATGTTTGTTTAAGTTTTTAAAATTGTTCTTGGGTAATTTTTATTTCCAAGAATGTTATTTACACATGATTTTTTCCATAGTTATTCCCATGCTTAAAGTGAGGAAAATTTAACATTCCCATGGGAGTAAGTTTAACTGACTATAACTTCTCAATAATTCTCACATTTTTCTTTTTTAATTTCTAGATTTAAATTAAACAAATTTTAAAAATATTCCTAGGAAATCTAAATTTTTACCAAACACGAGTATGAAAATAATTTCAAATCTTAAACAAACACATCCCTTGTTAGTCCTTTTTGTCATCTTTAAACAAAGACATCCTTTGTTAGTCCTTTTTGTCATCTTTAAACAAAGACATTCTTTGTTAGTCCTTTTTGTCATCTTACTTCGGCGTCTTTGATTACTCTTAAAATATGTGGGTTGAACCTAACTCATCCCTATAAAACCGATTTTTAAGGTGAGGATTGTCCCACTTATAAGCTCATGTTCAAGCCATATATTATTCGATGTGAGACTCTTAACACTACCCTCACGCCAGAATTTGACGTCTGGATCGTGGAACTAAATGGTAGGTGGTTCGATAGCGGAAACCTGATAGCAGATGACTCAACAAATCTTAAACGAGACTTTGATACCATCTTAGAATGAGTGAGTTGAGTCTAACTCATCCCTACAAAACCGACTTGTAAGGTGAGGATTGCTTTCACTTATAAGCACATGTTTAGGCTATATATTGTCCGATGTGAGACTCTTAACAACTACATTGATCTCAAAAGGTTCATTATGGTTCTGTAAATACAGTATGTTGTGATTATCTGTGACTAATTGGCCTTCCCCTCTTTACTAGCTCATTCAAAAATGATCTTTCAGCATAGCCATATGCTTTCAAGACTTAACTTTCATGTTAGATGGTGTGTTTTTATTATAAATAGTATTATTCTTGGCACTTTATGATCAAGTGATTTCTTGCCATATTTCTGTCTTCTTTGGTAGAGTTTTCAGACAGTATTTACTCCCTACTTTATCTGCTTTTGAGGCAATGGCTATTCACCTAATATTATGTATCTAATTTGTCTTCATGCTAGTTAGATAACTACAATTCAGTATTTGTGCATCATTTGTGTTTTAAAATTTATAATGGAACCTATTCGCCTTTTTCTTTAGTATTTATAACTGCATGTGTACGTCTTATGTCTGCTGCCCTCATTGTCCCTAATTTTACATAGGTGAAAGCAGAGGATATTGATGCTTATGCGCCCAAGGATCTGCTTATTGTAACAACCGGCTCTCAAGTAAGTTACATACACTATCCTAAAATACCGTGTAATTTCATGAAATATGAACATTGGAAAAGTTTAAGTCATATGACCAAATATGCATGCCATTGTGTCAGGCAGAGCCACGTGCTGCCTTAAATCTTGCATCTTATGGAAGTAGCCATGCTTTCAAACTTACCAAGGAAGATATTATTTTGTATTCAGCTAAGGTATGGTAAAATACTGCATTTATCTGTTTGGGATTAAATTTATCTTAAAGCCTAATTTAGGTAGCATAATTAAAGAAACCTGTTATGAATTTACAGTCTGCTATTCTAACTTCCAATCCTTTCTAGTGACGTCTTTAAAAATTTACCTACAAACTAGTTTGTAGTTTTTGATTTGTCCTCTTCTGATTCAAAATCAAACTGTCAGGTAATCCCTGGTAATGAGTCTCGTGTGATGGAAATGATGAATCGCATATCAGAGATTGGATCAACAATAGTTATGGGGAGAAATGAAAACTTGCACACATCTGGTCATGCATATCGTGGAGAATTGGTAAGTTTTTTATAGCACAACATTTCGTTGTGCCTATTTTTTATTTTAGTTACCAATATTTTTTATTTGTTCGTCATTGTCTATTCAACGCATTCAAGATATCCAATAAGGATCGTGCTAACTTGTGCCCTAAAGAGGCATGTTAAAGATTCAAAAAAGAGATTTTGTACAGTTTTTAAGGAAATGGATGCATGACTTCCAAGACAATTTCTATATTTAGTTTTTTAACAAGTGCCCTTTCCATAAAATAATTACGCGTACCAAATTATTATTACTACTCTTCTAACCAAGGAAAGTTTAAAAATTGTTTTTAAAGAAATTGGAATTTACTTCTTAATTTTCCTTCTAAAGTCTTATTTGGATAAGAAAAATTAGGTGATTGTCTTTTTTCGTAGTTAGGGCTGCATTTTAGAATCTGAAAAAATATAGAAACAACTTCAATTTTCATTTCGGTAAACAAAAACAACATAACATAGATTCTTTTTTTAAAAATGTCTCAATTAATCTCTAAATTATTGAATATAAAAATATTTTTTTAATAATTTGTAGCAAACAGACCCTTGATATCCTGATAGTGAGATTTTTAGAATTCACATGCATGAATAGGGCTGTTTTCGGTCCGGTCCGGGTATCAGGGGTCCCAAGAGTTGGACCGAAACCCTTATCGGGTAAATTGGAACCGGATCAAAACCGTGATGGTTAAATTTTAAGATCGAAATCGAATCCGATATTTTCGGGTAAACTGAAACCGGACCGGAAAATTGATTATTGGACATGGGGATCCGAGACCGGGCCGGTAATTTTCGGTTCGGGTACCCGGCCCATCCGAATTAAAGGAAAAAATTGAATTTTTTTTAAATTTCAGATGCAAAATTACATTTTAAATAATCCATTTAAAATATGCATTTGACATTACATTCTAAATATCATTCACATAAGTTATGAAACTTATGCTTTTCAAAAGTAAAATTTGTTCAAAAATATAAAACTTGTTCAAACATAAGTTAATGATGCCTCAGAACAATCTCATCATTGGCATTTCAAAAAACAACAAAATAACATTACAAGTTGTTGTTGTCGAAGAAGAGACACCAGGGTCCTCACCAAAATAAAATGCTAAAGGTTCATCTTGTGGTTCTTCAAGCTACATCAGTAAAAGCATAAGTTAAACAAGGCAACATAAATGGAAAAGCTTAAGCCATATAAATATTCAACTAAAATAGATCATAAGCAAAAAATACTTACAATACTAGCACTGCAGTCCTTTTTAATTCCATATTTCTTCACCCAATCACCCCCACAAAGTACCATTTCAACTTCTTAGTTTTCATAGAAGATCGTTTCGGATCAATAATCCTTTTACCAGCACTAAAAGTTGCTTTTGAAGCAACAGTTGTAATTGGAACAATTAGGATATCCTTGGCCAACTTACTAAAAACAGGATACTTGGCTTCATTCCCCATCCACCATGTTAAAACATCAAACTTAGCTTAAGGGGGAACTTTCAAGGGAGGCTCCTCAAAATATAACTCAAGATTAGATTTTGAATTAGTATTACCAACAACAGTTTCTAAAAGCATCTCAAAACTCCTCCTTCCCAGTCTAGAACTAGATCCTACTTCTGGAGTTTCAGACACAGGGGCATTCTCATCATTAGTTCCATAAGCATCTTGATACAATTGGAAGAGAGATTTTGAGTTGGTTGCCAACTCTTGTTCATAGGCAGTGGCTTGAGTAGCATTTGGATATAAGAAGGGATATACCCATTTGATGAAGATCATTTTATACCTAGTTGAACAAGTAGAGTTGTCAATCAGCTTAAATTCATCTATACCTATTTGCATAATTTATTTTCATCCAATATTTGACCTCAGAATTAAATTTCATCATAGGCAACTAAACGCAACATAATTTAATCCTAGGCACAATTAAGTCACAACTCACAAGGCAACATAATTTAATCCTAGGCACAATTAAGTCACAACTCACAAGGCAGACAACATAATTGAATCCTAGGCACAATTAAGTCACAACATCACAAGGTAATATAATTGAATCAATTCACAAGCAGTTCAGACAATAGTGGTCTCATATAGGCAATTCATCATAGGTAACAAATTCATCATAGCTCACAAGTAACAACAAGGCAAACAACATAATTTAAACAATTGATCAAAATCAATTCACAACCAGTTCAGACAGTAGTGGCCTCAGAATCAAACAATTCATCATAGGCAACAAATTCATCATAACTCACAAGTCACAACAAGACAGACAACATAATTTAAACAATTGATCATAATCAATTCACAAGGAGTTCATCATAGGCAATTCATTCATCATAACTCACAAGTCACAACAAGAACTGCATACCTTGAATCAAGAACTGCACCAATAGAAATCAATGTATTAGACTCTGACCAATACTTGTCATACTTCAATTTCATTTCATTAGCAAACGCCTCCAGCTAAGGATTATTTGAGATGCTTGAGGGTTTATCAAGTAGAATTTTCACCCTGTAAAGCTCAGCCAAAAACAAATTAGCAGTAGGGTAAAAGGTGCCACTAATAATTGATGTCACATCAGCAAAAACCTCCCAAAACTTACAAATATCATGAACATCTTCCCAATCACCCGCATCAGGCAAAAAACTGAAAAATGCACCATTTTCCTCGGCATATGTAGGCCAAACATCTCTGTAGTGATATGCAGTGGATAACATCAATCAAGTTGAGTTCCACCTTGTCTTGGTATCCAATACTCGTATTTTGCCTTCAAGTTGCAACTCATCAACAAACTTTTTAAATGCTTTGCATCTAGTTTCAGAATTCAGCAAATACTTGACACCACTCCTAATCTTATCAACAGTCACCTTAATCATATCAAATCCATCCTGCACCAACAAATTTAAGATGTTGCACAACATCTCACATGAAACAGTTTACCATCCAATGGTAGATTTCTCCTACCAGAATAATCTCTCTTCAATCTAGTAATACAATTATCATTAACCCTAGCATTATCAACGGAAATTGAAACCACCTTATCCCTTATGCCCCAATCATCCATCACCTTAATCAATTCCATACACAAAATTTCACCAGAATGTGGTGGTGGCACATTCTGAAAAGATAAAACTCTTTTGTGAAGCTGCCATTTTGAATCAATGAAACGACCAGTCACAGTCATATAACCAATTTTCTGTTCACCAGACCACCACAGATCAGTTGTAAGACTGATCCTGTTAATCAAAGACATAAACTTTTTCATCTTAACTCTCTCAGCCTCATAAAATGTCTCACAATCAAACTTAACCTGTTGTCTAGTAATTTTTTTGTACCGTGGATAAATTTCTCTAAGAAACTCATTAAAGATAACACCTTCCATAACAGAAAAAGGAAATTCATGACCTAGAATCCTATGAGCTGCAACTTCTCTAACCCTAGCATGATTATATGTCCAAGTTGGCAAACTAGGAGTACTATCAACACCTACATTTGACCTAGACTGTGCAACCTCTTTGTCATTATTACCTTTCAACCTCAGCTTTCTTTGAATGCAATTTTCTAAATGTTTCTTACCATTAAGTGCTTTTCCATCTCACATCATAAGTGTAAAGCTTACCACACCATTTCCATTTCTTGGTACCATCAGACATTTCAATAAGTAGCATCTTAGTACGAACAACATATTTCTTGGGACGAGGAGCTTTACCAAAGGCATTTATCTGGCTCTGTGAACTCTTAGCTGGGTCAAATGGAGGGGTTTCCCCATCAACAGTAGTTGTATTTTGAGTAGTAGTATTTTGAGTAATGTTGTCAGTTGGAAGTGAAACTGAAAGTTCCACATCAATCATCTCACCAATCTCTATATTTCTTCCATCCATTGTCTCATCTCCCCATCAAGCAACATGTTTATATCAATAAGATCATCCATGGTTGGAGTCAATGAAGAATCTTGAAAAGACATGACATACAGAAAATAAATATCAATCAAACAATAATGTAATACGAAATATGAACAAAATTTATTATCAATCAAACAACTTCAGCAAAATAATTTATTATTAGGCCAAAATACAACCTCAGGACTCGGCAACAAATTTACAAAATACAACCTCAAATAAAAACCCTAAGCCGAACCCTAATGAAGTTCAAAACTCAGCAACAAAATCAAATATTTTTTATCAAAACATTAGGTCAAAATTGATATCAGGTAGAAAACTATTCGATAACTCAAACATGCAAACAAAGTAAAAAATATAATAACAGAAAGAAAAGAGAATAGAGTTTGGATACATTACACGAACAAGATTGAAGCCTTCAACAATTCACACTGTGCCTCTTAACACAAATGATTCTAACAGATAATGAAAGTCAACATGTTGTGTTGATAGAAGATGAAGCCCTAGGAGAGAGAGACGGAACGGAGGAAAACATAATGTGAGAGATGAGAGAGAGTGACTGAAAAAGGAGAAAAGGAAAAATGAGAACATGTAAAATTTTTGGAATTTATATCAATGTCTATCGGTTACTTATTGGACATTTTGGTCCAGTTCTTCATGCTAGATACGGATACAAATTTTATCCATTACCAGATCAAAAGGCATTTCGGCCGGTCCAATGGTCCGGCTCTATCGGACCGGTTCTCGGGTGGTTTTCGGTTCTGCAACTCCAAATACAGCCCTATGCATGAATGATCAAGTCTTTTCAAACTAGTTAATTTCTTTTGATGCCTTTTCGGCTAGATACGAATACAAATTTTATCCATTACCAGATCAAAAGGCATTTCGGCCGGTCCAATGGTCCGGCTCTATCGGACCGGTTCTCGGGTGGTTTTCGGTTCTGCAACTCCAAATACAGCCCTATGCATGAATGATCAAGTCTTTTCAAACTAGTTAATTTCTTTTGATGCCTTTTCAGTATACTCATTCATGTGATTTGTCATTTAATATGACTTCTATACACTATCTGTTTTACATGACACACTAATAAGAAGTAAATAAAATACATATTTTTGCAGGAGGAAGTACTTAGAATAGTGAAGCCGCAACATTTTCTTCCTGTACATGGAGAATATTTGTTCCTGAAGGAGCATGAATCACTTGGAAAATCAACTGGCATTCGGCATACTGCTGTGAGTCATTTCCTCTCTTAGAATGTGTGATTGCTCCCACTTATAAACATATGTTCAGGCCATATATTGTCCAATGTGGGACTCTTGACACCCCCTCTCACGCCCAAGAATTAGGGCTGAAGCGTGAAACTAAATGGTGGGTGACCCAATGAATCTTAGATGAGGATGAGACTCTGATACCATCTTAGAATGTGTGGTTGGGCCTAACTCGACCCTACAAAACTGGCTTGTAGGGTGAGGCATACCCCCACTTATAAGCAATATGTTCAGGCCATATATTATCTGATGTAGGACTCTTAACACTCTCAAACAGATTTTGTGATAAAGATGTGTTTAAATATATCATGTGAGTTCTCATATAACATGTTAGTTGACTCGTGACTCTTATGCATCAGGTTATAAAGAACGGAGAGATGCTTGGGGTTTCACACTTGAGAAATAGAAGGGTTCTTTCTAATGGTTTCATTTCTCTTGGAAAAGAGAATTTACAGGTTGGTGGCCCTGAGTAATATCTTTGGTCTCTTTTAGAAAGCCTCTAATAAGCTATGAGATTTTTTTGGGTTTCCTTTCTCTTGCAGTTGAAATATAGTGATGGCGACAAAGCATTTGGTACATCTAGTGAACTCTTTATTGATGAAAGATTGAGAATTGCGTTAGATGGCATCATTGTGATCAGGTAGGTCTTTCATGTTTTAAAGTAAGTCAAAGAGAATTATAACATGTTTAGTGCGTCCTAATATTTATCTTTTACAGCATGGAAATATTTCGCCTTAAAAATTTAGAAAGTTTAGCTGAAAACACCTTGAAAGGGAAGATAAGAATTACCACGAGATGCCTATGGCTAGACAATGGGAAGCTGTTAGATGCACTATATAAAGCTGCTCATGCAGCGCTTTCTAGCTGTCCCGTTAAAAGCCCACTGCCTCACATGGAAAGAACTGTGTCTGAGGTGTTGAGGAAGATGGTGAGAAAGTACAGTGGTAAACGGCCCGAAGTAATCGCCATTGCCATAGAAAACCCTGGAGCTGTTTTTGCTGATGAGATAAACACAAAATTGTCTGGCAAGTCCCATGTTGGTCCTGGAATATCAACATCAATAAAAGTAGTGGATGAACGTAGAAAGAAAAACCAGTCCACCACAACGCAAATAAGAGGTAACGTCAAAGTGAATTTCAGGAATACATATAGAACTGTCAACTGTTGATATATGGTTGGTTCACTTTTGTGCTTGTATTTGCAATTTATGAATTAGGTAACGTAAGTGTTTGTTTGATTCTTTTGAATCCATTTTCATACGTACATTAGTTGCTAAACCCAACCACCTATCCAATATGTCCATTGTAAAAGTAGAGTGGAAGGGAGCAATCTGGCTCTGCACCTATCTTATCATAATCATATATACTAACATAAACATAAGTTCTCTAAGAAGAAAATTTGAAAACTGAAGAGAAACCAGTAAAATGCTACTGTTATTGACTTGTGACACCCGGTTACTTCATTCAACTGGTCTATTTTTGTGAAACTCAAAGAAAGCTTTTTATGTGTAAACCAATTTAACTGGTTTTCACTCAATCATTTTTCTTCACAAAAAATTCAATTTTGAAGGTTAGTTCAATTCCCCATATGAGTTTTGATTACTTCGAAGCCATGTCCTTTGATTGTATATCTTTAGATGGTGGATTCATATGTTTTCAAAATTATTTACTAGTAAGTTTTGCTTGACTCCAGTGTATTCAGTGATTAAAAATATGAACGGTAGTCCTTCAATACCTGATTTAAACCAATTTATTTTGACTATATCTTTTATGTTCATTCTCACCATGTTCTATTAAATATGCAGATGATAACATTGATATTAAAGGACTATTACCTGAGAAAGACACCACTACAAGTGGAGCTGAGGGCGATTTACCTGATTCAGCGGATTCAGATGAATTTTGGAAATCATTCATTGCATCATCAGTTGAGAAGTCAATCAAAGCTAACAATGGTTATGTTTCACGAAAAGAGTATAAGTCCAATCTGAAGCAAGATGATTCTGAAGACACTGGTGAAGCCAACTCTGAAGAAATGTCTAATGCTGAGCCAGAGTCATCAAAATCAATAAAGAACAATAAATGGAAAGCTAAGGAAGTTAAAAAGCTGATTGATTTGCGGAGTGACCTCCGTGACAGATTTAAAGTTGTGAAGGGAAGGATGGCTCTCTGGGAAGAGATATCTCAGAGCTTGTTGGCTGACGGGATCAGCAGAAGTCCTGGACAATGCAAATCTCTGTGGACATCTTTGGTAATGAAATATGAGGTTTGTTTCTTATAAGCAACTTGCTGTTAATATTATAAAGAACGCCATCCTTTCACTCCAATATTCATCCTTGATTCCAAGCGTACTGTTTTTTTGGTTTTTATATTTAATGGTCAGTTAGGTACACTGTAAAAATCTTTGTTGGGTTTTGCTTGTAAAATTGTATCGAAACCCAAAATTTCAATAATAACTACTATTTCCATGTCTACTATTTCTTTGCTGGGCATCAAATTTTCAATACAACTTTCTGACATAGATACTATTTCAATAATAACTTATTTTATGTTCAAAGCAGGAGATCAAGAATGGGAAGGATAGAAGAAAAAATTGGCAATATCTTGAAGACATGGAAAAGATAATGTCTAGCGACGAAGCACCGGCATCAAATTGATTGGAAATGGGGTGGGCTAGAATTAGAAATATTTTGTGAGCTTTCAGCATTTCGAAGGATCACAAGTCTGAGTTTGGGACCAAGAAGATAATCCATCAATTGCATGGTTCTTGTAACATGGACCATTGGCATTGAATATCCACAATTTTTTGAGGGCTAAGGGCATAGGAAACATAAAAGGGATTGGCTTTAATACTAATAGAAGCTAAGCTGATAAGGAAAAAATATTACGGGTTTAGGGCGGACAGTTTATTCCCCACTTCCGATACTTGCCCACCTTTTTTGTTTCTTTTGTCTAATACGTAATCCCATAACTCGTAATCAATTTTATTACTTTTGTTGGTGGCACGTTTTGGGTGTCACAAACAACTGTATATATGTGTTCTGCGTTCTGGCCACAGACAACATAACATTGGTAGTGAAAGTAGAATCTTATGTAACTTGCTGGTGATGATAGTCTTATTTGCTCTCATTTAGTCTTATAGTACTAAATATATGAATAGAGCGGGTATAAATTTAGAGCATTTTTTCTACCTAAAAATAATTTAGAGCAATTTTTGTTTCCCTTTACTTTCATTTCACTTTTAAGTATAAAACGTGATCTAGTTTTCACTCTCTTTTTATTTCCAAAACTTTCTGTAAGGAAATAGTGAAAATGGTTTTTTTATTAAACTTTTCACCATATTCTATACAAATATTAATAAATAAAAAAACAAGTTTGATTTGAAAAAAACATTCAAAATACGGATCTTCTCAATCATTTTGCTATATTGATGAGAAAAAAATATATGTATTAATAATGTAAATTAATTTTATATCGTCAATTAATCACTATCTTGTATTCTATTAAACTAAATTGTAATTTTTTAGTTAGTAGTATAACTTAGCTGAGTGATAAATTTCTATTAGAAGATGGTGTAAAAATATTAAAAATTACCTTTAATATCTTATATTGATTTGCTGAAAGCAATAACATGTCTTTGTTATTATTGCAAAGAATGAGTCCATGGCTCAGAGAGTTTATTAAAATAAACTAAAAGTAAATGATTAAAACAAACTTTTTCGAACTATCTAGATGAATTGAATTATACCATGCCTAGATAAGTATTTTACAAAAAATTTCAATTGAATTGGTATTCTTTAATCTCTTGTTTAAAAAAAAAAAAGTAAGACGTTTAGAAAGTAACTATTTTTTTTTTTAATTGATCGTCAATATGATTGATTTAGTTATAAGTAATTGATTTCAAGGAGATCAACTCCAATGCCGATGTGAAAATTTAGTAGACATTTCTCTTGAAAATAAACTTTGGTGGATGATATACAAGTACTTCTATAACCTTTTATCCGATGATTCGAATTTAATTGAAATTATTAAACACTTGATTCAATTATTTAATTTATTTTTTTATTTGATTAAAATTTAGTCAAACCACATGATTTAGCATTAAAAAAATAATACTCAATATATATAGGTAATTCTAAAAATAACCTCTAATTTCAGAGATTAGAATCCGAATGCACTTAAAACATGATAAATTTTAGAGATTAGAAATAATTTTCAAAAATATGTCTTTAAGGAACTTCAGAGATTAAATTTCAGACGCACCTAAAAGCTAACATCAAGAATGAAATCAAGATCTTATAATTTTCAAACTAATTTGAATTTCAAAGTTCATATTTAATCAGGAGATTAGAATACAAACATTTATGTTTAAGTAACTCACATATTTCCCTTTCCCTTCACATTTCCATTTCTGCAAAAGAGCAAAAACAAAAAATATGAAGAGATGATACTCAAATGCGATTATAAAGTGATTTCTCATCACTTTCAAGTCTTGTCATAACTTCCATCCATTGCATTGAAGCTCTACTTCACCACATTGCACTTATATGAAGCTGCTCTCTGTTGAATTGGTAAATTGCTTTTTTATTTTATTTTTAATTTCATATGCATGCATTACTCAAATAGAATATATGTATGACAATTTAGGATTAAATGCAGTAGAAATATTTGATGTGTTTGTCTTGAAATGTCTTGCATTATATTTTGAGGATTATGACTTATAGGGTTCAGATGCTCCATTTCTAGACCTTTCATTGCTTCTTCTATATCCAGGCCATGCGCCTAGACACATATGGGACATAGAGGTAGCATATATATTTTAATTATTCTTTTAAATATTTGTGTTATATTTTAAATTCTAACTATTTATTTATTTTTTGCAGTACCGTGATACAATAAACTGTATTAATCATGATGAAAGGTTACGAGGATGAAGCAACCTGATGAGCCATGGTTCCAAGATGTCATGCATCTATCTGGGTTGCAAGATTTATGCACGACTAACTATGATTATATTAACCTTGACTTATTGTCATCATTTCATCTTTCAATAGGTGAGATGTCCATCACACTTGATGATGTCTCATGCCTCATTCATCTTCCCACCCAAGCAAAATTATTAAACTAGTCCACGACCACCAGACTGAGGAATGGGAGACGATGGTGACTTATTTGGGAGTTAAATCAGAAAAAGATCAACATGATTTAGATGACACCAGATGATGTCATGTTAGGTTCTTTTTCTTGGTGGATATGTATGAGCACTGTTGTACCCCAAAATTTGTCCTCCCATATTCTCCAAGAAATTGCCAAGCCAAGTCACAAAATTCCCCAAGGGTTGCACAGTGCAAAGGTCTCCCATACAGTCAAAATTAGGGTTTGTGTTCTGATCAAGAAAATGAAGTTTCCAAAGGGCCAATCAAGTCTCATATGCCTACAAATATGGTCAAGTATTCTCATATCAAGTTTCAAGGCATTCAACTCAAAATTGCACAGTCAAAACCCTAAATTGCACTACAGTCAACTGTAGGGGCAAAATGGTCATTTGACAGTCAAAAGTTCAAAATTTTGGTCAACATATCATTTTGAAGCCACAAACGTCATTTGATCAATGCTTGATCATGATTCTCAAAATTTGGCTCAGAAATCATCAAAGATGCAAAAGTTTCCTTATTTGGACAGTTGAAAAAGTCAACTGAAATTGACCAGGGCATAACTTTCACATGGATTATCAGAAAAATTCCATCCAAAGCTCATTTTGAAGAGAAAGACATTTCCTACAATTCATCTTCATATTCCAAGTCCAAGAAATGCTCTCACAAAAAGTTATCAATTTCAACATTATAGGTCATTTTCAAAAGTCAACAAAAAGAGACTTTAAGTCAAAGGCCATAACTTGATATTGGTAAATCAAAATGACATGGGACCAAAGGCATTGGTTAAAGGACTCAAAGACCTTTCCAAAATGTCCAAGAACATGTGAAAAGCTTATAAATTGAGCAAGTTATGCCTTATGGAAGTTGGGAAATTTTTGGATGTTTTGAAAAATCAACTTTGATTCAAATGGTCTAAAAATTGCTAATGGGCCTATTTTCTTCCATGATTCATCATTCCAAGCCTATGCACGACCATTTGGCCCAAAGGGAAGCATTTTCTCATTTTTTATTTATTTATTTGGATTATTATTTATATTAATTCAATTAAATTAATTAAATGTGTGAAAAATATCTAAATGAACCAAACAAATCTTTTTGTACACATTTCAAGGTCAATATTTCGTGCACATCCCAAACATGGAAAGAATTGGATTGAATTGATCATAATTTGCACAAAAACCATGTGAAAAAGATTGAAAATATAATGGAAAAAAATCAAATCTTCAATCCATAATTACAAGAGATTTTGTTGAAAATTGTTAACCTAATTGCTTCTATACATATTCAGAATCACAAACCTAATGGCATTAGACTGAAAGCTGCGCTCAAGAATACCATACAAACTTGAAAAATTGTCAAAAAAACTAAAATCTGATTTCAAGGTTACAGGACGATTCAAGCCCTAATCTTGATCCCAATAGCTTCCTGAAACCTCCCTGAACGCATTCCAATCAATATCATCCATCCAAACGCAAGGAATTGGTACTTAGAACCGCAACTGTATCAAACAAATTGCATAATCATACATTCTATTATATGCATTATTTGTGAATTTTGTTTATATATTCATGTTCCTGATGAAGTTTGTGAGCTAACCATCATGTTTAATTGCGTTATTATCCTGTATATCAAATTTCACCATGCGTGGCTTTTAGGGTTTTCAGCATTTTGAATTGGGGCTTTTGAAACGGAGTAAAATTAGGACTCCAGACCACCACCATTGCACTCAACGCACCTGGACGAAGAGATTGACCTACTCGCGCCCAATTTATGGGCATCATAGCACTAGTCGCTATTTTTTGGAAACTAACCTTAGGCCACGCATCCAAAACCGTTGCCTCTGCTTTTGTTTTACAGGGACAACGAAGGAGATGATGTGTTGTCTAGCAGCGATTGGCCAGTTTGAAAATTGGCGCGCTTAACAACTAACGCGTTTGTTTTCTCTTTTTGTTATTTATTTACTATAATATATTGATTGAAACGTTGTAGCTCAGCTGGCAGGTGTACGTGCTTGTGACCTTCATGACCTGGGTTCAAGTCCCAGGTCTGAACAAAATTCCATATTATTTTTGTATACTAATTCCCATGCAGGTTCAGCCTTGAAGTACACCATGCACCAGCATAATCAAGCGTGCCACGTCCATTCCAACACTAGATCAATGGTCATGAACTGAAGCCTATGGTGGATCCAGGTCAACGCCTCAACACGCTATGCAAAAAGTCAAAAGGGCCACTGCTTATTGGGCCAGATTTTCATGAACACACCTCACAATTTGGGGACTACACCCCCCACCCTGGTTTGCTTTTCTCTTCATATTTTATTTTATTTTAATGTTAATATTTTTTTTTTTACTGTTTATTTAATTAATTGTTTTTATAAAAACATCCTAAAAAATCAGAAAAGATAAAAATATAATATTTGTTTTTATTTTAATTATTTTCATAAATAAATTAATATGTAATTATTTAGTTTAATTAGGTTATAACATTAATTCTTTTTT